TTTCAAGACTGCACTTAACACTGACAACAAACATTCGATCAAAGTCTAAGAAAGTGCATCAATTATGGTAAACAGCAATAGCAATACAGACTTTTATTACAGTACTTGCTACAAGTGACGATGCGAACTACTAAAAGGTAGATGCCCTGCATTTACGTGAGTGTATCTTCTCAGTCCCTGGCTTGTGTAAGCTGGCTATGCCATGCGTTTTATGCAGGCACTAGCCTTAATTGCCCGGGCCGCCGGCTGCCAGCATAGCACATGTTTGTATGCAAATGAGCGAATGTATTTTGCATCCGGTGGCGTTTGCATCGCAATCGGGCTTGTACGTAAACGGGATGCCGTCAAGACCATGTTTCAATATTAGACTTGGTTTCCAAAGAGGCTTCATTCTTCTTTTTTTACCACCTGACTTTGAAGCTATTAGCCAATAAATAACTTAAATTTGCCAAAACAATATGAAATCAATAGTAAAGAGCAAATTATTACAGTACTTGAATTTAATTTGACCGCTTCAGATGGAGATTAATTTTGGAAACGATATCCGATGGCGACAAGGTCAAAAATTAAAAAACGACCCAAGTCAAGACCCAATTTATTGCGCATGCGCAATTAACCTACGGAAACAATTTTCTGTCTGATGTGACGACGATGAGGTGACGTTCACCTGAACGACTTGAAGAAACCCGGCATTTTGCCGTAAAAGTCCGCCAATATGGAACTTGAAATCAACCAGTACTTAGCCCAACAGCGAGAGATGGCAGGAGAGCAAATAGAAAGCAGAAGAGATAGGTAACATGACGAATAAGGGATCGTTTATTGTTTCAAGCATTTTGCCGTCCTGGCTGATCTGGCGCGGTGTGACGTCCAGGTTGCTCAGTTGGGGGCGAAGTGCTGTTAGTTTTACTGGGGCGAGTCTGTATGATCGTAGATTCTCCGGATTTCGCGCACTTTTCCCAAACCTTCTCACTTACTGCCTATAAATGTTCATCAATGATATAAAAACTCAATGTTTTAGATTATTAGCCACACATCCGTATATGCAAGTTCGTGTCGACGTACTGAAATTTTCGGCTCACCCACTTATCTTCATTGGCGCAATTTACAAATACACCGTCTCCCCTGTCATTGTTCATATTATGTGTGACTTTTCCCGACTCTATGTTTTGCGCCAGAAAAATTCACTTGAACACTTGTGGCTCTTTGCAAAAATGGAAAGTGATGCAATTTCTGCGCATTATAATGATTTCCTTTGTTAATTTCCGGAAGGTACTTATAGTTCTTGGGATGGATGTGGTCGGTACGTTATCAGTGTTGTTCAATCTAAATGTAATGTATTGTGTTTGTCACTTGGACTGTTTTTCTCTGCAATTTTGTGTTTGTATGTTCAGAGGACGAGACTATGGGTGGAACCGGAACCAAGGGAGGGAGAGAAGGCGAAATCGCTCCAGGCCGAGCCGGTTTGACAATGCAGCTGATAACATCCTTCAAACCCAGACTAGGGGAAGCTATGAAGCTGATGTAGACATCAATAAGTACCGAGAACAAGAGGTATTAGTCATCATTAGTGAAGCATTGTAATGTTTCTGTCAAAATAGTACATTTAGACTCTGTCCTGTATAGACTAAAAAGCCACCTGTGCATGATTTTAAAATGTTCAGTGCCCAAGTTTTTTTTGTGTGATCAGAACAGGCTGATGAAGGCTATCACTGAAATGTCTTGTGAGGTATTGTATTGCTTGTGAGGCTTCTAGGTTGACGTTTGTTAAGCTGTGAAATTTGCTTAAGTATTTTCCTTTGTCAGGTTTTCAAAGAAAGTTGACCTTAATCACACTCTTAGTAATTAAATTAATGGAACCCTGAGGCCCGTCTTCCACCTGTTGGTGGAGTTAAGAAATGACTGAAACTTGATACAGAATTCCATCGTGTTCTCAGAAGTAATTCTTTTCAACTCAGAAAATTACGCCGCTGTAGTTTGACAAAAACTCAAACAATCAGAAAAAGAGTCAAATAGCACTTTGTACATTTATCTGAATTCATAACTTAATTTTGAACAAACGTTTGGAGGTTCGTTCTTTTGCACAATTTTCAGAAGAAGTCATGAGTGTTTTGAGCGACAACAGAGTTTCATTGGCTTTGATTGTATACAGTCATTCCAGGCTAATAGAAGAAATGAACAACGCAGTGAAGGATATGATGATAGAAGGACCGAGGATAGATATGGTCGTGATAAGTATGATGACGCCAAGAGATACTCGAGGAACGAAGACCGATACCAGAGCAGATACGAGGGGAGAGACAGCGATAGATACGAGGACAGGTACGATGAGAGACACAGTGAGAGGCGCGGTGACCGCTCGGATGACAGGCGGGGGCAGAGACGTGGCGACAGGCGTGGGGACCGGATGGATGGTGACGAGCGGCACAGGGAAGGTCGGGACCGAGACCGGGGCCCGGCCAAGGAGAAGCCCAGCCGCACAGTCATGCTGAAAAACCTACACAGTTCTATCACAGATCGCGATGTAAGTGGCGTTTGCAGTGTTGTGTCATGTGATTTCAGTTCACATTTGTCTTTGCCTTCATGCAGTGAAAGTCAAATCATTGAAATGTCTGAACTTAGTTCAACCTTCAGTGCAGTTAACTTGTGCTTAATTTAATAGAGGGTTTCAAGTTCTCTAAGGCCTTGCAAATATGCGACAACTGTCCCTCATTGTTAGTGGCTGTTTTGTCAAATGAAACATGCACGTACTTAGTAGATTTAACTTCATCAGAAGTCTAATTCTGTGGTAAGTGAGTGTATGTAAGTGGTTCTGTCGAAGCAGTTCAAACAGGAAATAAGGTTTCATTTCTAAATGTTATGTAACTATTGTTTTCATTTTCCTCTAGATCCGAACTGTACTGCAGATGTTTGGAGCTCCAATCAAAGACGTGCGACTGGTCAAACATCGTGACACAGGTGAGAACACACAGCGATGTTTTTCGTTGTCTCCCCCCCCTGCCGTCCCGCGCGGTCAATAATCCGGGTCACCCCTGCCTCCCAACGGACCTGTGCATGATTCCAACTCTTGGCTTTCAATGATCCTCCATTTTCCAGCAGGGGAGATATGATTTTTTTTCTTTGTATGTTTTTTTGTCCTGTCAGGATTGGTTTCTTGTTTTCTCTCAAGGGATTGATGTGTATTTAAATAAATTTGTCTCTGCATTGTGTGCTTCCTGAGACAATTTGCTCATTTCCAATTTGTCTGCCGACCTAAGAGAAATAGTATCTTTGAACCGTGTGGTTAAACGCATTTACTTGTTTCAGTGGACTGAAGGTAAGTTTTAAAAGTGTTCAGGATGTAAAAAAATAAAAATTATGATGGCTCTCTTGGAAGACGAAACTGCTGACCTAACTTTGTCTCATGTAATGCATAATGGGAAAGTTACAGCCTTCACAGCAAATAAGTGCTGTGTTTGTCTGCTGCCGATGCATCGTTTGAGTGTTGTGAAAACCATAGAAGCCCTATTTGATATTCTTGCACTATGCGTTAATCTCCCCTGGTGGTGACTGGACAATTTTTCTTGGACATCTCAGCCTGCTAATCAACAAAATTTTGTTTTTGTCTTTGATTAAAAAAATAAAAATGATCAAATGCGTACCTTTTTTCTTCTCACTTGAGGTAAATTCAGGAGCTGGAATATTTTTTCTTGATTTTCTGTGGATGCTAGGAAGGATGTTAGCAGCACAACATTAACGCTTAACAGGCAGGGTACTAGTGTAAGCCAAGAACTGGAATCACGCATGAGCGGCCCTGTTGAAATGAACTAACAGCAGACCCTCCCCCACACACACACACACACTCACAAAGTGTGGTGGACCCCGCTGTGGGGTGCCCTGACTCGGGTGTAGAGATTGGCTTGTCAGAAGTCTTGTTTTGCATTTTAACACCCTGCTGTTCTGAATGTTGTTGTGCCTCCCCGCCTCTAGGTGTATCCAGGGGCTTTGCCTTTGTGGAGTTTCAGTTCCTGCCCGACGCCCAACGGTGGATGGAAGAGAACCAGGTTCCGTGTACTTTCCTGCATGTCTGTAGCTCAAATTTTTGTCAGACACACACACATACAAATACACATACAAACACGCTCATTACATGTACACTCAGTCGTGAATTGCCACACCTCAGAGGACGAGGTGCTGTGCTTCCCTTTCTGTTTTCATACAACACTCCCCAGTCGAGCATACATACTTGTTCCTTCGTTCTAGGGACTGCACATGTTGAAACATAGATGTTGTTGGGACGGAAAATGATACGGCACAAATGTTTGTCCCCACCACTCAGTCTCGGCTCTCTGTACACAAGAAATTTCCCTCTCAGTGCGAGGAAAGCTCACCCATACACACTTACTTTTGAGGATAGATTTGGGGCAAAAATTTACTGGTAAAAGAAAGCCGAAAACCTGTGTTCCTTTGATGTTCTCTTCCTTGCATGGTAAGCTCAAACAAGCCCACACTTAAAAAGAAACTCAAAATTGTGACCTTTCCCCTGTAAAAGGAAATGGTCAACGACCTGTGGGGCCCCCCTCCCAATTTCCATACTCCAGATTTCACAAACATACACGTTGTACACGGCGCGAAGCAAATCGGCGAGTTGTGTTAGCGATCATCGATTCATGTTTCAACACAGGGCTCGCTGAGTTGAGGTTTGCGGTTTATTTTAAGTAAAGGGAGGTTTACATTTATTTCATGTTCTTTAAAGGTAGTTATGTATTTCAAGAATAACAGTAGGATTTATCAACATTTGTCAGAAATATCAGGCCCGTAGCTTCCAAAGAAATTGTTTTATGCCTGTGCAAGATGCATTTGCAAGATCCTGTTGTGGAAGTTCAAAGGTCAAAGTCAGCCAAAAAGTTTTTCCAAGTGTACAGACTCCTTGAGTTGTCCTTAAAAAAAGTTGCTGGGGAAAAATGCCGAAGTAATGTATACTGAGAAATCTGAAAGTAGACACTGAACTCGCATCGGAAACAATTTTATCATGAACCCCAAAGTAAGTACGCTGAACTGAGCAAGGCCCAGCAGTAGACAATTTCTGTTGGTTCCTGACGGGTTCAGCAGGTTGCTAGTAGAATATGTATCAGGAGGTTGTGGAATTAACTAAGTGTTCACTTAATACATGTCCTTTGCAAGTCCACCCGAAAAATGTCAAGCTCTCAAAATTAACTGCAGTAGAAGGGCGCCGTTGTTCACTCGCAGTTACTTGTGACTCTGAATGTGGTTTCAACTTTGGAATAACTCAAAATTTGATTTGTGAAGAACTTACGATGGACTTAGCTTTTAGTACAAACATACAAAGTATTTTTGTTTACTTTTGTCGTAAACTATTGCCAAGTAAGCGTGCAAAGTTATGATAGATTAAATATTCCCACCGGAAACTTCAAACCATGTAACTGCTTTGACAACGTTTTACTTCTCTGTTACTGAAATGGCTGAGCAATTTGAGAAGAAGCTGCATCTTAAATGTTGAACATTTTGTAGAAATGTGTTTTATTGTCAAAACAATTTGGAATGAACATTCTCTGCGCCCATGTTCCAAGAAGTGGAATTTTTCAGTGCTTATTAGGGACTGAGTGCTGTGATGTTTTTTAGGATGTGTGACGTAATATTTTATATCTTCCAATAGTTGATTTTTTTCTCAGGCTGATTTTGGATAGGTTTGTTGTGATAATGCGTATGCAACCATTTGTTGACTCGCTGCGGGCAAAAAATGCTGGGAAATCTATGTCCATGTATCCATAATACATGTACAGATTTTCACAGAGAAATACCACGTGTGCACAACACTGAGAATTGCTATAATTCCAGTCGGCGCCCCCGTGCACAGAGGCAGAGCCGGAATCTCTCCGTGTCTAAGGACAGAACGAGAAACGTTTCTCTGTCGTAGTTCCTTCTTTTACACTCGTGGGTTCAGGGAACAATACTCACCAGTGCGTGAGTATGACCTAACGCTTTCCTGTGTCCAGTCACTGGGCTATCCGGTTGAAACACAAGTTCCAAGGGTGAACGTTGTCAGCGGTGGTTCACGTTTGCTCATTTGGGATCTGTGGGTTTGTCTTGTTGCAGGGGCGCATTGACCTGGTGGGACAGGACACCCAGCTGGTGTACAGCTCCAACAAGGACAGGGAGGAAGATTGGTTCTGCTCACAGGTATTTACCAGCGTTGGTTGTCGTCTGCTGTCGCTGTGGACGTCAAGCTGTGTCAAATTACCAAAGTGCTGACTCGATACAAGTGGAGTGTAACTGTGAAAAGACTTAAAAGTCATTACGAGGAGAGACAGCACCGTCTTTTGTGCATTTGTTTCGTTTAAATGCTAACTCCTGTTGCATGGAATCGCACTGAATTATGTGAAGTCAAACAGTGCCGAAAGCCAGTCACACATTCTTTGTGTTTAAACTTCAAAAGAAAAAAGCAACGCATCCTATGCAGTGTAAGAGTGGTTGGCCTCAGCCTTCTTCAATCAATCAAACTCCTGCAAAGTGCTCCTTGGAGGTTTTGGAGGATCCTAGGAGGGTAGGGACCATCATTGCGCGTGTTGTGCCTCGCAAAACCTGTGCAGCCTATGCTGCAGCTCTGCAATGAAACTTAACGACTGCACCGTACGTCGGCTAGTACACATTACAGACACCTCTTCTATGATAGCCATGCATGCGGCATTAATTAAAAAGCTTTGCCCATGAATGTGGAGTTGGCACTGCGGTAAACTAAGACAGCTTGACAGTTGTATTTCTCACAAGGTTCCAGCTCTCGGTCATCAAATGCAGTTGAACACCTTCATAACAGGGTCGTTGTATTGGAAATCAAAGCATGCAAAGACGTGAGCTCAAAATTGTTCCTTGTTATAAGCAGGGCATCATATTGACCCTAACAACCCTGAATCCTCCAATTTTAATATGATTTTGTGCACGCCCTAGGGAGTTAGGGTACAAATTGGATTGTTCGGTGAGGAAAAACATGAAGAACATTTGGTTACAAGTAAGATGAACCTGGCAACAACATTGGCTTTGATTCAAACTCTGGAACCAGCTGGAACCTTGCGTTGTAAATGTGAACATGTCCATATTTGGGTCCATTGTTCCATGTGACCCTTTTAGATCTGGTACCCGCCAATCTGTTGCCTCATGCTCACAAGTAACATATTATTGGACTTCAGTGCACAAACAAAGAAAACGTATGAGGGCGCTGTAGAGTTTTGTTGTGTGTTTTTGTGCGTATGGTGGTTTTTTTTTTGGGGGGGGGCAAAATCCCTATGTAAAAAATTTTCCTTTCATTCAAAATCAGTCAGCTGGCATGTTGATTTACATAAAACTGTCTCCCTTTGTGCACAAGTTTTGGACAAGAAATTTGTTCAAATTAGGCACAGGGAGTTGGTAACAAAATAAGAAATCATGGAACTTCCATCACGACACTTAGGTATTCAGAATTCAGTTGGGATGAATTCAGATGAAAAGTAAATGCTTCCCCTTGCATCAAGCTAAAGAAAACAATTGACTGAAGTCTTTATTTGCACAGCATACACGACTGGTATGTTGTACTTTACCACAGGAAGCGAGTGCTATTTCAGTGTGCCAGGAAGGTCTGGTTTCCAGACCCTTAGGCTCAGTGCGGCATGTTCTATATTGCTTATTATTTTCACCTTAGTGCGGTACGCATAACTTCAAGCGGAGAGAGTTTTGCTTCAAGTGTAGCGTCAGCAAAGACGGTAAGAACCCTGCTAAGGATACACTGGACATTCCGGTCAGTCAACCTGACAGTAGATTTCTTCTCCTGTCCAAGCCCTCGGTGCTCTGCCGTGGTGACGTCTTGACTAAGGGTGTGAATTGAAATTGCTGAAAAACGACCGTGCACAAAAATTTCAAACTAAAAACTGATGTAAAGGGAATATTGGTTGTGAAACACGGGCCTAATCTTCCAGAATGTTCTTGTTATAAAACCCTATTTTTTTTCTCTTTTTCATGAAAATCGAGTCAGTAGCAAAATACCACTTGGAGAAACATGTCAAGAGAGCCCCATAGAATGCCACAAATTTGCCGAATGCTTTCGAATTTAATTTTAGAAACGTGAAACTCTAAGAATCTAAAACTTGAATTGACATTCTTAGTCCTGACGTCTGAAGTTTCAAGGTTTTTGAAGAATGGAAAGAAAGGATAAACTTGGATGGCTTTGGTGTGTTTTTTTAATTGGAGATTGTCCAGATGTTCAAATTGAAATCAGCTCTCAGAATTTTCCTGGCATCCTTGTGATATTCCAGAGAAATGCCTTGCTACAGAAAGACACCGCAAACTCCAGAAAAGTTGTAAATTTTCAATTTTCAGGGGGTAAGGTTGTGTCGTTTTAAAATTTTCAAACAGCAGTGCTTACTCTGGCTTTTTCATCCACAGATTCGGAGCGTTACAGTGAAATAGGGGATGTGGCCTCAAATGGTGAGGAAAAAAAACACTTTTTTGTATTCCCTGCTGTAGGATTTTGTAAGTAAAAATGGTTAAATTTTGCCCAGATGTAAAACCTCAAAATGTAGAACTGAATCCCTCTTAATGGTAAAAGATGGAATGGAAAGTATGAGCCTAGCCACTTTTATCCCATGTGTAATAATTAAGGAAAACATGTACTTCAAGAAATACCACTGCAGTGGTCTGTGCCGTGTCAAGTGTGATGAGCTTGATGTTCTACACTATAAAGTATGCTCCAGTGGTGCTGATCCCGTGCGTAGCAACTTTCCAGGGTACACTGTGGCCTGTCAGTGAAAGTGGGGCGAGGGAACTGAGGTTGCGATTTCCCGTCCATTTATCTGCAAAAGCGTGGCTTGTAGTGTGCATTTTGTTGGCTATAAAAGGGATCGTGCGCTGGACCTTAGGGACATGAGTAGAAACGACAGTGAAATCCCTGAACTGGTACTGTTTCACAGTTTCTTGTTGAATGGCAAGCCAACCATTATTAAAAAAAAAAGGGTGTGACCATGTTACTGATATTGTTAAGGATGTCAAAGGCCAATTTTCCTTGTCCTTGAAGTATTGATCCTGATGGGCTTAGACGCACTGACGACCGAGGAGACAGTGACCAAGGTCTTGGAGTACATCTCCTCGGCCAAGATGAACATCAGCATAGCCCGGGACACGCTGACGCGCACCTCGCGTGGCTACTGCTACGTGGAGGTAGACACTGTGGAGACCGCCACTTACCTCATGAACATCATAGCTTCCATGCAGCCACCGTTGCAGATTGATGGGAAACAAGGTAAAGAAATTTGTAAGAAGTTCCCGAATTTCTTCATTTTAAAGAGGTTTTTTTCAGTTGCCCCCTTTTTAATGCATCCCAGATGCAGTGTGTAGTTTGTTTAGAAACTGCTTTCAGAATTGTTAGACATCGTTGAACTTCTTCATGTCTCATAGCTGAAAATCAGGCCTAAGTTACAGTGCATCACAAACAAGAGCTAAGTTATCTAGTGTAGGAAGCAGCATTGCCGTACCCCTGGTAATAGCCAGGAGCGGCATTTTTCAAAGGCTTCCAGATGCTCCGAATTATAATTTGAACGCGAGTCGTGATCATTGCAACAGTGCGTTATTTCAAATGTTAACGTCGTCCTCTTTTTCTGGCAGTGTCTGTTCACTTCTGCAAACAGCACCTGCCCGAGGAGACAAAAATGGCCACTCCTCCTGCCGCAGACACAAAATGGACCGATGTAAGTGTTCTGAATTACACTCTTGAGGTTCTCTGTCACTGAAACGTTTTTCAGTGATTCTGATTGTGCATCGGTTGTGCATCGCTGCCATTTTTCTGGTAAGAGGTTTTGTTTCACAGGGATACATATGAGTAGACCTATTGTGCTCTCTGTCCATAACAAAAGCGGTTACCAGAAAGATGGCTGCCATGTACAACCTCTGTTGCCCAAAGACATGTATATTCATGTACCTTGTTAATACTTGTGGTGACACTTTGTCCACCATTCGTGGTGTCTTCAGCTGGTGGTCAGATTTTTTGAAGAATATCTCTGAAGCAGACTTGAAACTTTACAAAAGAGTTTGGTAATTGAAGTCCAAGTTTGGCAGTGAAGTTTTACAACATTTGTAAGGTTTCTGTGGGATTTTTTTTTACGGCAGGCGTGAAGCCTTAAAAAAACTGTCTAGAGTTTATTTTGTGTGTAAAGCTTCAGCATGCATTTCCCCTATGTCTGCGATATCCTTCAAAATATTATGAGTGTTTGAAGGATTTTGTTGGCTTGAGGAAGGTGAATCACAGCTGGTAGTACACTATAGAATGTGTACCTGGGATGGATTCGTGTTGCAACTTCTGATTTCTCTTTTCTCTTGTAGTATGGCTCTCAAGAAGGTGTGGCCAGCACTCAACCTTCCTCCGATACCCCAGCCACCACCACGCTGTACTTCCAGCAGGCCGCCGTGGATGCCACCCAGCTGACCAGTTCCCAGCAGTTTGCCTACCAGTCCTACGTGGTGCAGTCGGCCGCCAGCCAGTTACCAGCAGACCAGGCCGGGTTCCAGGTGCAGGATGCCCTCGCGGGGTCAAACACGGTGGCTCAAGCGATAACCCAGGGATCTGGCGTCATACAAGCTGACAGACAACAATGTTAGTAGCAGTTAACAATTTGCTAAAAATCGGAACAACTACTCCAAAAATGGCCCATTTACAAAATATTACTTCACGCAGACTGTTACCAACTACATGTAATAATGTATGTGAACTGTGCACTGATTGCTACCCCTGTTGGTTTCAATAATGTGGTTGAAAAATGGAGTTGGTTTAAAGTAAGACAAGGGCATCGTCGGGCCATTTGCATGGATGCTGGAAGAGAGGCTGACCTGGCAAGCTTCAGCTTCCTGATTCTCAGCAAGCTACACAGTCCATACTCATCTTGGTGAAGGTAAATTGATCTTTTCTGAACTCTGTGCCCGTGTTTCACTCCCACAGACAAAGCAGCAGTTGCACAGGAGCAAGTTCAGGCGGCCAGGCAGCTGCAGCTACAGGTAAATCATTAACCCCCCTATGATGAAGTCACTCTTTGGGTCAGTTGGTAAACACCTCA